ACACGGAAGAAATTCTTCAAACCCACCATGTCTTCATAATCTACTCACTGATATTGAACTACTTGCTAACTCATCAGCAGATCAACTTCCATTATAAGTACAGTACTAACTTACAAGAGAAGTTGTAAGTTTAAACTAGAGGTTCTCAGTACCTAAAACTGATGACAAGGTTACTCTGGTTTTGCTGCAGTACAGAGGCAGTCAATGCGATGAGTAGCAGCCCCTTAACCACCTGAAGAACGATTACTCCAATTTAGATACATACCTGAATAAGTACACCAGGCTGGTTGTCAGAGTACGTGGTGAATGTTTGAGTCTGCTTGGTGGGGATTGTAGTGTTTCGCTTGATCAGGACTGTCATGACACCTCCAGCTGTTTCAATACCAAGAGATAGAGGCGTGACATCCAACAGCAGCAGGTCTTGTACATTCTCAGACTTATCCCCAGACAAGATGGCAGCCTGAACAGCTAAAAAAAAAAAGAAGTGGTGTCAAGACACTGCAAAAAAATACTATCACTGGAAAATGGAGGCATCTTAACTCGCTCAGACATCCAAGGAAGGTTTTAGCCATCATCAGTCAACTTCTGGTGGAAACTACGAATGGCTTTGGAACCAAATTCATCAACGCAAGTAAACAGGAAAGATGCTATCCCATTGTATTTAAGAAATATACTATAGTGAATACTGTGCATAAGTGATTTGTCATGGATGCTATTGTAATCCAAGGTCACCAACATTTAAGTGTAAGCTTGGGAGACAACCGCTTACTAGCCATAGCTTGAGTGTTGTGTTAGTCTTTTGCAGACTTCACATACACCCATATGTATGGTCAAAACCCAGCATTACAAGCTGAAAAAGTTATTGGGGGAATTAGTTACCTGCACCATAAGCCACAGCTTCATCAGGATTGATGCTCTTATTCAGCTCTTTGCCATTGAAGAAATCCTGCAGCAGTTTCTGAATCTTGGGGATTCGGGTAGACCCACCAACCAGTACAATATCATGGATCTGTGATTTGTCTAGTTTGGCATCCCGCAGGGCCTTCTCCACGGGATCCAGAGTGCCACGGAACAGATCAGCATTTAACTCTTCAAAACGAGCTCTGGTAATTGAGGTGTAAAAATCAATGCCCTCATAGAGAGAGTCAATCTCAATACTGGCCTGAGTGCTAGAGGAGAGGGTACGCTTTGCACGTTCACAAGCAGTGCGGAGACGGCGAACTGCTCTCTTGTTCTCAGTAATGTCCTTCTTGTGCTTACGCTTGAATTCAGCAATGAAATGGTTGACCATACGGTTATCAAAGTCCTCCCCACCCAAGTGGGTATCACCTGCAGTTGACTTTACTTCAAAGATGCCATCCTCAATAGTGAGGATCGAAACATCAAAAGTGCCACCACCAAGGTCAAAGATAAGGACATTCCTTTCAGCTCCAACCTGGAAGGAATAGAGAGCGTTTTCTGTTATGGAGGTGTTGCATCTCACTAGTACTGAGCTGACTAGGAACAATCTACTATGCTATTTAGCTACACTACATTACAGCTTGCTCACCTTCTTGTCCAAACCATAAGCAATAGCAGCAGCTGTCGGTTCATTGATGATCCGGAGCACATTGAGACCTGCAATGGTTCCAGCATCTTTTGTGGCCTGGCGCTGGGAGTCATTGAAGTAGGCTGGTACTGTGACCACAGCATTAGTAACAGTCTATGGGCAGGAGAAAAAAAGTCAGCCGAGACCTTCATCTACATGGTACATGAACACAAAATCAAGATCAAGCTAGGTTTGAGACTATTAACCCCTTAAATTCTAGGAGAGCTGAGCTACTTAATTCTCAAGTCTCACCTTCCCAAGGTATGCTTCTGCAATCTCCTTCATCTTGGTCAATACCATGGAAGATATTTCCTCTGGGTAGAAGCTTTTGGTCTCTCCTTTGTACTCAACCTGGACTTTCGGCCTGCCAGCATCATTCACCACAGTGAAAGGCCAATGTTTCATGTCAGACTGGACAACAGCATCATCAAATCTACGACCAATCAGCCGCTTTGCATCTGAAAAGAATTAGCTATTGTGAGTAATAATTCTAATTCACTTTCTACTTTCCAATTCATCATTCTACAAAAGCATGCTAAGATTAAACACAGGACATAACTGAAGTGTTAAATTCAAACAAGGCAACTCCCACAATAACTCCCCTCTCTGAATATCTAGCCCTTTTGGTTAGTGGAATTATCGAGCCGGATTCCTGGTATGAGCAGATTTAAGCCCTCCTATCTACTAGTATCAGGACAAGGGCAAAAGTCTCTGCTTTAGGGGTAAATGGAGGTTGCATGATTTAGAGCAGTAGTTTTCAACCTTAGGATGTGCAGACCCCCCCCTGGAAGATATTGGACAGTCTGCAGATTACAGGTTGAAAAACAACTAATTTAAAGCCTTAACCTGTATACTAATTAAAATGGAACAGTTGAACTCAATGAAAGCTGAAACACAATAAGCTTAATATAATTAACTGGGATCATTTAGGACTATGAATGGAACTGGAATCTAAATAACTTATGCCCATGCCAATTTGAGCACCAACCTACAGAAGAGAATGTGCTGTTAAGGAACAAATGCTCCTCACTGCCCAGAATTTGTTCATTGAAAGCAAACAGGCATTGCTGCTTAAAACGATGCTAACATTGAAACAATGGAGATGTGAGGTCTCTAGCTTCTTCTATCTACATCCAAATTAGAGAGCCCAATTTGGCATGAGGCTATACCACCTAACAAGCTGAAGAGCTATACAGTTTATACTAACCAAGAACAATACAGCAACTATATTCAGTTTAATGTTCTAGTCCCCATTTTAAAGTCTCATGTCTTTTCTTACCAAAGACTGTGTTAGTAGGATTCATTGCAACTTGGTTCTTTGCAGCATCGCCAATCAGCCTCTCTGTATCTGTGAAGGCAACGTAACTCGGCGTGGTCCTGTTACCCTGATCATTGGCAATGATTTCCACCTTGCCATGCTGGAAGACACCAACACAGGAATACGTGGTGCCAAGATCAATTCCAACTGCTGGTCCCTTAGACATTTTGCCTGTAAATGAGAAGTTTGTTTACTACACATGCAAACAGTTTGTTAGCCCATGTTTAACAAAAACTCCTAAAAACAGGTATAAGACAAAAACTAACAGAACCAATTTTCCTTTTAGAAAAAGATAAAATTAGCAACAGTAGCAAGATTTAAACTTCTTAGTAGCTCATGTTTCTATTCACTTGCCTGCAAAGTATCAATAATTAATATGGAGTGGAGACTCACAGATTAGCTACTAGAACAAAAGGTGCACACGATGCACAGGATACCATGTGGCCTCAGAGTGGGAGAAAAAACCCACACAAAAAACCCCCCAGCTTACCTGAAGAGATAAGCTCCCTTACAATTTAGTAGCTAAATGACTCATGAAGTTTACATTTACAGCTAAACCTTAAGATCACATGGCCTTTTAGTCGAGTGGACAAAGCCACAGTCCATGACTAGGGTACAGAATCCCGTATTACGTATTGCAATTTGAGCTATCGGTCCAAAAAAAGCCGACGGGCCGGAAAAACGTGGCTGCAATTTGATCCCGCTCTGCAGGGGAAATGCGGGGTGGGCTGCTCCTTCCGGCCACGTGGATGAAGGTGGCGCACGTTGCCGGCTGGGGAAGCGAAATCTCCCTACTGCACCACAGCAGCCTTCTCCGAGCCACGCGGCCAGGCCACGGGGAAACGCAGCCGAGCGGAGGTGGGGGGGGGGGGGGAAGAGGGCCAGCCCCTCGGACTACACGCCCCAGCATGCCCCGCCGCACCACGTGGCAGGCAGGCCGGGCACTTTAGCGCCTGCGCTCTCGCCAGCCCCTGCGGAACCAGCCGCTGGGGGGTGTCACATGGACAGTTCTCCGCCCCCTTCCCCCCGCCGCCTCCCGGAACCGGCGGGGCGCGGCGCTGGGCACGTGGGCCGGGAAAAGGCTTACGCCGGCAGGAAGCCGCAGGCAATCTGCCCCCTACCCCCATGAGCCGAGCAGCGCTGCCTAGTTCACTCCCCGCCGCTAGCCGGGCACAGGGAGCCGGACACGGGGAACGCCCCCCCCCCCGCGCTCCAAGAGCCTGGCTGAGGTCGTTCCCTTCCTCCCCACCCATTCCCGGGTGACCGCGAGACCAGGCCCCATTCGTACCTGTTCAG